TGAACATGCTCAGAGAATACTAGCATTACGGCTACAAACCACGAATCAAAACCAAAGACCGCTTGCTATCCAAGAGTTCGGAACTTAGTTGAGTCGGAGAGTGCACGGCAGCATGCATGACCTGTATCAAAAAGTAGCTGTGGCCTCCCAAGATGAAACCACCTGGTTTTAGTTCCACGGTTTGCTGTTTTATTCAGATAAACTGCCAGAAGGCATAGTAAGGCACCATTCAGTTGACCCTAATGTGGATTGACGGTTCATGCGACATTGCGATTTGAAACCACTGGAATGCACGAAGTCGGTGAAAATTGTCCTCAAACAATTATTAGTCTCATCAATTTTAAATGATGGAGACTTGATTTAATGGCTTGGCAATATTCCATAGTTTTATATCAGTGCATTTCATACAACCGCCAGATTGCACTTCGGTGCAGCAGTTTTGGTTCGTCTATTGGCTATCCATTCGGTTACTTTACCGGTATTGTGAGGACTGTAACTAAACTGATTTGTGCATCACACGTTATTATACTGTACACGCTAATACCTCAACTTTTTTTGCTAACTTTCAAATATAGTGTTTTCTCTGTTGTTGCCTTTTTTCACTCTATGATCCCATCTGTTAATTCGGGTGTATTCCCTACGTATTCGAACACTCACGCGTGAGCGTGAGGTTACTTTTAGATATGATTGATTCTGCTTAAAGGAAGAGCGTAGAACATGTCTGTCTTTCGCAGGTCAGATATCTGCTCGCCTTAGTTAAACTCATCTACTTAAAGGCTTGTTTTCTACCGGAAAAGTGTGATGGAGGAAACCTGTCAATTCATTATTACACCAAATAAAGGGTAATGCAAAGCTAGTCAGAAATGTAGACAACGAAGTGATCTACCAGTCGACGGTGTAACTTCCTGAAGAAACAATGAACCAATCCGTCTCTGGACTCGGGATTACAACGAACTTAAGCTTTGAATTCAGTGGAAAATCATGCTTTTCAGGATTGTTCATTCTCACTTCGACCAATTAGAGTTTGGAACTGTGAGGTAGTTAATGTTGAATCTCTTGTAACTGGGGACACGTAAGATATACCATCACGACGAGACTGCACCTTGGCGTGGTGTGATGGCTTGAGCGCCTCAATGACCCTACGAGCTACACAGAATGGCTCCTCAGCCGCAGATGCAATCATGCGTAGTACGTCAATGGGTAGAGGCCAGACGAAGCTCAGTTTCACAAAGCCAGCTTCTTGGGCACCTGGCTTCCTTTTCCATCCACACCCGCCTCTGGATAGGTCACTCCAGTAAATAAAAACTGTGAGGGGCAGTTTGCCGATCAAAAAACCCCCGTTAGACGTAGTAGCAGGGTACCTGGGGCTTCCTCTTGACGGCGGGAGAAGTTTTCGCACTTCACTGGACAGCTAACGCACGCCCAAGCTGAGGAGCCCCCAGCCAATAAGGTGCTGTCCCGTTCATGTTCCGCTTGTCTCATTGGGTGCATGGGACTAAGGGCCGATCCCGAAAAGCGGACCGATAATCAACGCACCAGCGAACAACAAACCTAACCGAAATTCAGAGGACTTGTGTGAAGGGTTTCCATAAGCTCCCACACTGGTGCTTCGTTCACGCTCCCGCGTTGAATTTACGCGGGCCAGACGTTTGAGTCAAAGGCTTCGGTTAGGGTTTCCAATGAAAAACCCCTTCGTCGGTGTGGGGCAACCGCGAAGTATGCTGTGCCCAAAAGCCTTTGGAGAACCGTCTTTCTCAACTGTCTATTTCCTCTTCTCACTCCCATACCTTAAGAAATGCATCCTGTTTGCACCACTCATCGGATACCACTCAGTGTTCAACTAATGAGGCCAACCTTTCAGAGGCTATCAGATTATTGAAACCAAAATCTCCTTTCCACTTGGCCGCGTTTAATGTCCGCACACTATCAGATTGGTCAACAAGCCGCCTCAGATAGAACCTTTGAAACCTTCCACTTAGATGTATTCTGCCCTTGAAACACGCATACAAGACCCTACTTCAATCATCTCTTTGCGTTCTCCAGATCCAACCTTATCCTCACGCTTCACTCTTCGGGTGTCAGGCGATTCGACATCCGAAGCTCGCGGTGTTGCTGGTGTTGGGATTGCGCTGAGTGTCAAGGCCGAGCGTTCACTTCTTGACTGGATCCCGGTTAACAGCCGACTTTGCGCCGTACGTCTGGATGGCTCAGTACGAGTCAACAGCTACATAACNAGATTGCAGTCTAAGGAATGACCGCGAGAAGTGCTCGGTAGGAAAGTGTGGAGAGATGGAGAAGGCTGCGACTATCGGTAATAGTCGCAATCTTTTCCGATTGATTAGCAGTACAAGTTCAAGGAAAGCAGGCGTAAGTGAGGTAATTAAGGAGTCCGACGGCACACTG